GTCCCATACCTTTTAAATAGACATTTACCTCTATTTGGGAGCCACTTCATATTGAACCCCTTCCCCCAACAAATAGTCATTTCCCAGGACCGAGGTGACAGCCTTCCTTGGATACCCCTCCATTTTAAGTGTTTTGTGAGCTAAGGGATATTATTTTTAACTGTTTTTCTCATGTCCTTTGTTTAAAACCCTTAACAAGGAATGATTTACAAAATGGTTTCCCACGAGCAATTTGCTTTGTAGAGGTAGAGAATGGCAGACATCCTTAAATAGTTAAAAATAATCCTAATTACTTACACCTGCAGCAGCTGTCACTTGTGTAAGGTGTGTAACTAGCAGAGTGTGTGCTAGAAAAATGGGGTTATCTGCTTAAACAAGGGGTGCAGCCCTGAGGCTGAACTCTCGAGTAATTGGATGGTTGCAAGTCTGAATACAAGGTGGCCAACTGAGCCACACTCTCTCACCCACATTACAGAACAGGTGTGACCACTTAAAAAATTGGATCTTCTTTATTATCTAAGTATGAATTTTCTGTTTTTCAGTACAGAAGTTCTAAGCTATGGCTACACATTAGAATCACCAGGGAGGCTTTAAAAATCCTGATGTCTAAGCGGTGCCCAGACCGATTAGACCAGCCTCTCTTAGGCATCAGAGCTTAAAAGCTCTGCAGGTGGTTCCAATGTGCTACCAGGCTTGAACACCACGTGTAGACTGTGGTTCTGACTTCACCCCATCAGAATCACCATGAAGCCTGTTAACTACCCCACCCCACCCCCATTCTCAGAGGCAAGGGTGTCCGACTTTGTGCTTCTCGTATTTATTCTAAGAATGCTGCCAATGCTGAAAATAATGTTGAATTCCTTTTGGAATTAACATAATTTTTTGCCCCATATGACAGACATTGTGCTGTTTTATAGCCTTTAGCTCACTTAACCATTTTCACAAAGCCAGTACATTCTCATCCTTGAGGTCTGAGAAATAGTGCCAGACCCAGGATGACTCCTACCTTTAATAAAGGCACCTGCTGCAGTTCCTCTATCCCATCGCCTGCTTTGTTTCCTTCTGCCACTTCCCGCCCGTCTGCAATCCTGTTTATTTTCTCTTCCAGGTGCATGTAGCTCCATGATGGCAGAAACCCTACTTGTCTTCACCTGGTGCCTAGCTTGTGGCAGGCACTCCACAAATGCTTGTTTACTAAGTGAATCCACGGAGCAACCCTAGGCTAGAGGCACTATTATAGCCTCTATTTCAGATCAGGAAGAGTTACAAAAAGATTAAATAACTTACCCCAAGATCAGAGTGGAGTAACAGATTCAAACTGTGTTGTGACCAGAGTTGGACTCTTAAACCACTGCAAGAATCAGTCATGGCCTTAAATTAAATATCAACCTTCTTTCCCAGAAATAAATGAATTACTCACCTAAGAAAGTTAACTATCTTTGCTTTATTGGTACTTGGTTCAAAGCTATTTTTTTTTCAAGTCAACAACAAAATTTAATTTCAACGAAAACCCAGAACCCAAACTCATGTGGCCAAACTGTATAAACAGTGGAAATTTATTTCCTAAAAACTCGTCTATACCAGAAACCTTACAATGTCCCAAAGCAGGTTAGAGATTTCTACCTCATATAAAATCACACCAAAACCTTTTTTAACATAAAATATTGGGTTTTAAGAGAAAAGCTCCATGAAATCAAACGGATTTGAATTATGACTTTTATTTAGCATGCTAATATAATTTATTCTGGTAATAAACTAACATGTACACTTGTCAAAAACATTGCTTTCCCCCAAAAAAGTGCCTCTGAATGTGCACATTAAAGCACAGGCAGAATCCTTTAAACAGTTGACTTTATAATCTTCAAATTTAGAAGTGTAGTGACATCAAATTAGGACAGGCACCATGGGCTTAGACTGTGCAGGGTGAGGGCCTCTGGGAAAAACTAAGCAAGATAATCCATTGTGGGATTTGCTCTGGCCTGCTGGGGGGCCCAGTTTATGTTTCTGACTTCACCCAGGTGCTGCTTTTCTTCCTCCAGCCCTAATCAAGTGATTTACAACCTGGGCATTTTAACAAGCAAGCCCAAAACAAGTAGTAAAAACAGGAAGGATTCCATCTTGAAAATAAGATTGCATTTTAAAACCCAATTAGTTAAAAAGTAAGTTTCTTAACATACTCTTTAACAAACACAATAACTCAGCCCACCTTGGGAGCAAAGCAGGCAGTCTTGAGTGATATGCTCCTAGATCAGGAAGCTGCTATCCTGGGAGGAAATCAGCAGTAAATTTCTTGTAAATAACCAGGAAGACTAGTAAGAAACTAATGTCTCTTCAAGATAAACATTTTGGGACCACTTAGCAGGTGTGCATTCCTAGCCCTTTGTCTCTCAACTGCCTACAAAACCCCTAGACAATGCACCACCCCAGGATTCTTTTGTCCCCTCCTGGCATGAGGCAGGAGCTCTGTCTTCTAGCTTTATCGCTAAATAAAAGCCTCTCATTTGCTCCACCTTTTTTTTTTGTGATTGCAGAAGTTCATTCTTTGACTCAGCAAACAAGAACCCCCGGCATCAAAATTACTGAACGAGTCTAATTCATGATTAGATAGCCTTCAGTTTATGAAGGTTTCAATTACCAGCTCCTGCAAGCTATAAAACCTTGAAGCATAGTACTGACAGTTTAGAAATCACCTGACCCAGTCTCCTAAAATGAGGAATCCACTGGCTTTGCCAGAGATTTCAAAGTTAAGAGACAGAAGAGCCTGGATTACAAACTAGTTCTCAGAGGCACTCTTAACGTGTTAAGCTCAAGGCACAAATACCAACACAACTGGAAGGCCCTGGTTTTACTCTTTGCTTTATATAGGATTAAATCCTGGTGTGTTCTTCGTAGTTAACAAATTTAGGGGCCCAGTGGCTATGGAAAGTCATTCCCACTGTGGCACACTGTCATAACAGCTGATGCCACTTATGCTTCTGTTCTCCTGGGATGTCTGGATGCAGGTAGCTTTCTGTCCTGCTCTTCTAGCTTATAGTAGACCTATGTCTCACAGGTGTCTGTTCTTGCTTGAAATTTATCATCAGCGGAGGGAGCTAATTTACTGGTATTTACAAAACCATCAAACGTGAGTATGGAACAGTTCACCTTCTACAAAACCATCAAATCTGAGAATGGAACAGTTCATCTCTGCAGCTTGTCTCCTCCAGGGGCACATACCCTGCCATGTATATCTGAGCTGTCACTGGTTCCAAGTCAGAACCACATCTCATGACATAAAGAATTTTCCATATAGTTTTACATAATGCACCAAGCACCTGTGGCATTCTGATTTATTATGTTTCAGCCTAATGGCTGCACAGCCATGTTGCTGCCAGGTTAAAAAAAAAAAAAAAAGGCCTTTCATTTCAATTCTTTCCCAGTGAGAATTCACTCAGTTCCCATTCTGGCAAGCTTTTTTTCTAATTGCAGGAGTCATTCCAAAAAAAACCTACCAGACAACAGTGAGTCTTTTCAATTTTATATATACACAAAAAAACTGAGTATATAAAAGGAATTGCTGAGTTTCCATGTGAGTGACTGTAATTTCTTGCTATTCTCCCCACTGCAGCAGAGATGATAGCCTGTCTTTGCATATTTCCTTTTATCCAGGGCAACATTTTTCTGTAAGAGTGAATATTTGGTTAGGTTGCAGCTTATAGAGGCTTATCAGATGTGTCCTCAGGGGCATATATTTTTAGGCATCTCATTTTCAAGTTCATCCTCAGCAAATATAAGAGTTGTTACAGACACTTTACTTTTTTTTTTTTTTTTTTTT